TTCTCTTCAAAACGTTCATGGCACTTTGGGATCGACCGATGATGCAGGCATGGCCTTTGCGGTGACATCACAGAAGGAAGCCCTCGAAGGTGTGACTAAGTCAGAGCTTGAGAGTTTGCTTGACACGGTTCAAAAGCTCCATCGAAGGTTTGGACATCCCTCGAACAGCCTCCTGGTCAAGAATCTTCGAGCGCGAGGTGCTTCTCCAAAACTGTTAGCCGTTGCAGCTGAGTTTAAGTGCGATGTATGTCTGGAGAGCCAGATCAAAGCCTCGGCTCCTTCTGCCAGTCTGGATCGAGAGGACCGGCTGTGGTGTTCACTTCAGATAGGTGGTTTTCATATGCGGTTTGGACAGGAAGTTTTCCATTATCTGCTGATGGTGGATGAGGCATCCGGATTCTGCCAGATAGAAGAGATGCTTCGACACCCCGAGAAGGACTCCCGGAACATCACTACGGTCCAAGTGGTGAGAACGCTGGAATCCAGATGGTTCCAACTGTTCGGATATCCGGAAACTTTGAAGCTCGACCCAGAAGGGGCATTCCGGGGATTGGAGCTGGGGGAGTATTGCTCTTCTCGGGGAATAGAGCTAGGTTTCGTGCCCGCGGAGTACCACCAAGCAATCGCGGAGGTGGAACGCTCAGTAGGGTCCATCCGCCGAAAAATAGAGACCTTCTTGCGAGCAGAGCAGTACCCACCATCAAGGGCGGCGTCTCAAATGGTGGCGGCACACAACACGCTCGCCCGTGCCTCAGGGTTCTCACCAGCTCAATGGGCATTCGGGCGGAATGCCTCCACTACAGGACACAGTCGCGAGCGCGATGGCGAGGCATGTGCTCAATCGGCAATGGCAGATCCGACGCACCCTATGCATGAGGCTTTAGAGCTGAGGACGAAGGCCGAGAAGGCTTTCTTGGAATATCGAGCACGAGAATTGGCATCAAGGGCCATGAATGCGAAGACCAGGCCATCAAAGCATTTCTTGCCAGGAGATGTCATTTTTTATCAGCGATACCAAGTTCCTCAGGACGCTCCGGCCAATACCACCGTTGACCGTCCGCGCATGAACATCGCTCGGTTCTACGGGCCCGCCAGAGTGCTGGCCACCGAGACCCGTGTGGACTCGGAGGATGGTGTTCGTAAGGCCAGTGCAATTGCGTGGGCGGTATGCAACGGTAGATTGAAAAAGTTCCATCATTCTCAGGTGAGACATGCTTCTGAGACGGAGAGACTGGTTGCGGAGGGTGCCACGTCTGCAGCTTTTCCTTGGACTTTTTCGACGTTGGCTGACCTCCTTGATAAGGGCTCGTTTGATCATGAAACTGTGATGAGGTCCAGGCCGCGAGGGAGATCGCGTGCTCCGGCTCGATCTCGCTCCATGCCCCCTACGGCTAGGCGCAGAATTGAGTTGCCTGAACCTCCTGTTCCCCTAGCAGTGCCTTCACCAGAACCTCCAGGCGAACCTTCCGAGGACGAGGAGTTGGTGGAAGTGCCCGCGAGTTCCGGAGTAAAACGAACGGATCCTGAACCCCTTGGAGACGAAGAGATGGAGCTCATTCCTGCCCCGGACTCAGCTCCTTCCCAAGCATCTTCGCATATTGACATGGTGAAGTTCATGAATGATCCTCAGTACCTTCCCATGGACTTTGTGGTCATGGAACCAGAAGAAGATCATCAGGTCTTCCATGTGGTGAAGGAAGAAGGATCCACGCAGGCCATCGACCACTCTGTTCTTGCTGTGACCTTGGATGCACCAGCAACGGAGGCGGAGTGGAAGGCCATTGTGAAGAATCCAAAGAAGTTCATTGCGAAGAGTGTGCAGAAAGGTGTTGAGGTGAGTTATGCCAAGTTGAATTCACAACAGAGAGCGGCTATGGACTCAGCCATGCAGGTGGAAGTTGACAACTGGTTGAAGACGGTGGCTGTGAAAGCGGCAAAGCAGTTCGTTCCCCAGCGTGAGCTCCTGAAGATGAGATGGGTGCTGACTTTCAAAAGCGCTGCAGAGGAGCCCAAGAATGGGGAGGACAAGTCCACTCTCTCTCACCAAGGCTTCCGGGGGAGAGAAAGTCAAGGCAAAGGCCAGGATCGTGATCTTGGGTTATTCCGACCCTAACCTTTTGGAAGCCACTACAGTTAGCCCAGCAATGACTCGGTTGTCACGTCAACTCCTCTTGAACATGGCCTCAGCAAAGAAGTGGGACATTCTCTGTGGCGATGTGAAGTCGGCCTTCCTTCAGGCCAAGTCGCCCCAAGCTGATCGCGGCATCTTTGCAGCCCCGGTCCCAGAGTTGAGTAGAGCGTTGAACTTGAAAGAAGGACAAGCAGTTAAGTTGCTACGCTCTGTGTATGGGCTTGTGTCAGCGCCAAGAGAATGGTATGAAGATGTGCATAAGACCTTGACACAACTCGGCGCAGAACGTCTCTCGACGGACAACTGCGTGTGGCGTGTTCGAGATCCCGAAACAGGCCAGATTGTGGGCTTGATATCGAGCCATGTGGACGACTTTTTGATGCCCTCCAAGGTGTGGAAGAACTTCCTGTTTTCCTTCGGCAAGAGCTATGAATAGTCCCCGTGGGAACATGAACAGTTCAAGCACTGTGGAGTTTCCATCATGCAGCATCCTGATCATTCCATTTCATTGGACCATAGTGCCTTTTGCCAGGAGCTGAAGCAAATGACTCCCGTGAAAGGCGAAAGGAAGCTTACAGCCGAGGAAGTGAGCCAGGTGAAGGCCATCCTCGGGAGTGTCCAGTGGCGAGTTTATCAATCAGCTCCCCAACATGCTGCGAAACTCAGCTATCTCCAGAGTTTGATTGCGTCTCAGGACTCATCCATTGTCGAGCAAGTGAACAAGCTCGTAAGAGAAGTTTACGCAGCCAGGAGTTTATCCGTACAAGTACAGGCGTTAGGTGTTGAGGATCCTGAAGATCTCTGCATGATTGGTTGGTCCGATGCGAGTTTGGCAAACAGGCCAGACTTATCGTCCACGGGCGGATTTCTCATCGGGATGATGAACAAGCGTGCGCTCGAGGCTGGGTCCGGACGCGTCAACCCGCCGGCCTGGCGCAGCGGTAAACTCCACAGAGTAGCCAGAAGCTCTCTCTCAGCGGAGGCCCAAGGACTCGCAGATGCCGAACAAGAACTTTTCTTCGCCAGGCTTGAGTGGCGCGAACTCTTAGGTGATCGCATCGACTTGCAGAATCCAGAGGAAACAGCCTCCAGAGTCAGCTCCTACCTGGTCGTCGACGCCAAGGCCATGTTCGATTCGCTCTCCAAGGGTGTCTTCGTATCCAGCCAGAAGGACAAGTACACAGGGCTAGAGCTACTTGCCCTAAGCCAACGATTGGAGGCTCAGAAGACCGTGCTCCTGTGGTGTGACAGCGATCACATGTTGGCAGATGGTCTCACTAAGGCTAGCAAACAGGATGTTCTCAAGCGCTTCCTTGCTCATGGTACCTGGCGGATCCGCTATGATGGCGCTTTCATTTCCGCTAAACGGAGAAGACAAATGGTACAGGAAGCGAATGTTTCGCAGAACACTGTTTTTCTCCTTTTCGACACTCCTATGTACAGCGCAAGCATGTGATCCTTTCGGCATTCTCCCTTGGGGTGTGTCAGAGGACATGTCCAGTCCATGTTTGCCTTCATGCTCTCATGCTTGCAGAGTGTCAGTTTGGGTGTGCGAACGCAGGAGCTCCTTTGGCCCAATGGTCTTTTGACTGTAGGCTACGCAGTGCTGTTGATTTCCCTAGGAAATCTCACGAGAAGCCATAGGCTCCTGCAAGGCACACCACCGAGGTGTGCGCTACCGGTCTTAGACCCCAGTGACTTCGAGCGACGACGAGAAAACCTTGTGCACTCCCTTTTGTGTTCGGGAAAATCTACCAGCTGCATCAGAGACCCACCTTTGGAGAGGAGAGCCCTACCAGCTACCGACAGGATCTATTGATCCGCAACGGTTCAAGACACTATGCCGGCTGAGGAAGTGGATGTGCACACGGCTGCCTCTGCTTCGACTGGACCGCGCGCACACGAGTGTCCTTCAGCAGCTAGCAGCTAGCCAGCCATGCGCACACACTGCCTCAGCGCTGTTTTGGGCAGGACAAGATTGTCATCGTCAAGCGAAGATCCCGAGGAGCACGAATGTGCGGAGGGTCAAAAGACAACAGGTACACAAGCGAACCGTCAGCTGCTTCTCGTTATTCTGTCTGGCAGGACGGGCCGCAAGGTTTACGCCTAGCAACTTCGTTTTGGAAGATCATGTCAGGCGGGAGTTGGGCTATTTGAGGCTGCAGGACGCACAGCTGTGGAATAATGTGCAAGCAGGCTCTATGAGACAGAGTTCGAAGACGGGTGCGAACTGCCATACATCTACCTGGGCGATGCCGATGATGAGCTTCACTTTTGGTAGCGATGCAAAATGCCCGGAGGATATCTTGCTCACTGCTGCTGGAAAGGGTGGTCAGGAGGCGCATCCTCGAACACGTAGACGACCGAATGTCAGGATTGCTGACGGAGGATTCCTGCTGCGCAATGTCATCAGATCCTCCAGCACGCCTACCGCAGAACCTGAAGATGCGGATGTCGGCACCATCGACTGTCAAACTTCAGAAGGATGACGTGGCTTTCTGTGTAAAGGCGTCTGGTGAGGGTTCAATGGAAGTCCCATCCCAGGCCGTGCCCGCAGGACTGCTGATTCAATGCTTTGGAGGATTTGTCGTGTATGTTTCGTGGGATACTGTGCAGTAGTGCACGATTCCCATGGGTGCGATACTTTCTGGCATTTTGAAGCCGGGGCAACAAACACTAAAGAGACGAGATAACCTCTTGCGACCGAAGAATCCGCAACTATGGCGGCAATTTGGCCAAAGAGAGCTGCCGAGCTTGTTGTGGTTGAAGCGCAGAGGAGGAGAGGGGCTCGGCGCAAGGAGAGCAAAACTGGGCGTGCCATCTTTGCAGTCAAGCTGCATCCTCTCGTTTACGCCTCGAACGCGCCAAGGCCCCAGCTGCAATCATCGGCTCGCCTTCTGCGTGGCCTCTGGGCGGTCCATCTTTCCAGGGTCCCTTTACCCTGAGGAGTCCATTCCGATGCTTTGAGACCTCTTGTAGAAGTCTGCCAGCGACAGCAAAATCCATCGAGAGGACCGGGGCGGCAACTCGGGGCAGTATCCACCCGGTGCAGGCCGGGCAACAAAGGGGTGGAGTCGACTCCGAGGGCCTGTCGAAAGGTCTCCAGTCTGAATTGGGCGTGTGTGTCCACCCGCCCCTCGCGTTGTACAGAACCGAGTTCGCCTGTCTCATTCCGGGGTATCTTTCCTCTGGGAGGTCCCTCGAATGAGACCATCAAATGCCGCGTCTGCCGACATCGCATGTACACCTCGGAGGCATGGGCTTTGCGGTGGCTTGCGTAGCGTCGAATCTGTCCTTCACCGCATACGCTCTGCCGCAGGTCCGCAAACTGCGGAACTGTCCTTTGTGCCACTCGCGCTTGGACATCCCAGCGCCGCCGCCAATTCACAGCCTCGGTTAGAGGCCGTGCTCGATGCCGCGGCTCACGATGTAGTTTGCGGGTTTTTCCTTCAGTAGGCTGTAGGAGTCGGGGGCAAAAGGAACCCTCCATGTAGAATCTACGCGAGGGGTCCGAAGCACCGACCGAGTTTAGACTTCGAGATTGCTTGCTGCACCCCTCTCGAATGCACGCGATTTGTCTCACACTTTGGAGCTCGAGCAAGAAGACCCTTAGAAGCCTAGAACATAAAAGCGATCCCACAACTTCTAAAACCCGCCAACGGGTCGACAGGCCTTTCATGTTTCCTCCCGAATTAGTTAACACTTTGTGCATTGCATGTTGCGACCGTTTGACAGACGTGGCCTGGCAAAAAGGCTGGCTGCTGTTCATTGTGGCTGCATGTGCTTTCCTCGTTCTACGATTTTTTGCAATTCGTCCTATCCTGATGTCGATTTGCATCCCACCGAAACACGTCAGACACAGGGGCACGATTTCGTGAAGCAGGGATGCTGTCAATCAGCAATCACATGACTGCTGGCCCGTGCCGGATTTTGACTTCAGTGCCCTTCCAGCCGGCCGTTGTCAGTCATGAGTCATGGCGCTGTCTTGCTCCGATGCCTCTCGTCGGCACTGTGGAGTGTGGAGAGTCTGGAAGCATGTCTTGCAAACATCGGTGTAAGGCAGGTCTGCATCGTCGTCTTCACTGCTAGGCCCAGCTGGCAAGAGCTGTGACTTGCGGTTGCTTCGAGTTTAACGCCGTGGAGGGAGGTGTTCTGGCAGAGTATCGGCTCGAGCTCCACAGGCTGATCTCTGGTGGCACACTCGCATTTTGTGAACCATGGCCTCCGATGCGCTCACTACGATGGGCACCTGCATGTTCGACGATGCGGTCATGGCGGCTAAGCTCCCAGCAGCCGTCGTGCAGCGCTTCAACGAGTGCCTGGTGAGCGGTGCGCCAACTCCGGAGGACGACAGCGGCCAAAAAGACAGTTGTTTATTCCCCAAAACCCCTCGGGGGTTGGGTTCTCCTTTAGGTTTTCCAACCGCATGGGCCGCGATACGGGGTGCGCTTGTTGATCTCTGTTTCTTAGGCACAAAAGTGCAAAAGTTTGCGCGAGTTTCGGATCGTCCCAGGCATGTTTTACATGTTGTGCAGGTAGCGGCCACAGGATGCCAAGTCCTCGAGGATTCAGCAAAGGCTTCGCGGTGCCGCAACAACCAGCATGCGGGTAGGGAAGGAACTAAACCAATCCAAGAGGCTTCCAAAACGACAAGAAAACAGTTGTTTATCTCAGTTTTTGAGTATTTTTTGTGGCAGGATGACTTTGGGCTTTCCTCCCCGTTTCGGCCACCACGGTCCGGGTGAAGGGACGAAAGTCACTGCGGACACGTTGTCTGCACCTCACCTTGCCTTTGCTCTTTCGATTTAGGGTTGCGTAAGCACGTTCTGAAGTTCTGCCCCCAGGGTTGAGCACTGCCACGTGCCACTCACTGTGCCTGACCGGTCGCTTTTGTTTTTTTGCAGTTGCGGTGGCGCGGCTTTGTGTGACTACCTGCATAATGGCCTCTAGGATTCTGCATCCTGTGGTCACAACCGTCAAAGGCATCTGAGAGATAGTAAATTCAAAAGGTTCGGATGCCAAGTCGGTTCTTGAACTCGCCCTCAGGAGGACATGAAGGTTATTGCTGATACCATGTACAGCTGGGCTCGCGAGCGCGGCGCGATCGACTTCGCGCACTGGTTCTTCCCCCTGCGTGGTGGAGGCGGCGCCGTCGGTGGCATGCTCGGGGCCTTTAAGAAGGACACCCTCATGGACCTGGAGTTCGGCTCCAAGTACACGACGAAGCCCATGAAGGCCTGCTTGCCAGCGGAGCGCCTCTTTCAGGGCGAGACGGATGGTTCCTCTTTTCCAAACGGAGGCCTGCGAGTGACCCACTCCGCAGCCGCTTTCACCACCTGGGACCGGTCCTCGCCTCCTTTCGTGATGGACAAGTGCCTGTACATTCCGTGCGCCTTCGTGACGCATTTCGGAAAGTGCATCGATGAGAAGACGCCCTTGTTGCGATCCATGGATGCAGTGACCCTCCACGGCTTGCGTCTCTTGAAGAACATTGGAATCGGCACCGATGCCAAGTGCATGTTCAGCTACCTGGGATGGGAGCAGGAGTTCTTCGTGCTGAGTGCCGCCCACTACAAGGCACGCCCCGACTTGGTGAACACCGGGCGCACGCTCTTCGGCAAGCTGCCCACCCGCCACCAGCAGGGAGACTTGAACTACTTCCAGGCGATCCCCGGCAAGGTGCAGGAGCTTCTCGATGTTGTGCAGGCCGAGATGTTGAAGATCGGTTGCCCCATGGCCGTGAAGCACAACGAGGTGGCACCTGGACAGCACGAGATGTCCCCCGTCTTCCGTGCTGCCAACGTGTCCTGCGACAGCAACGTCTGCTTCATGGAGGTCATGAACCGGGAAGCCGCGAAGCTCGGCCTGCAGGTTCTTTTCCACGAGAAGCCCTTTGCCGGCATCAACGGCAGCGGCAAGCACGCCAATTGGTCCGTCGGCACCGACACGGGCTTGAACTTCTTCTACCCAGGCAAGAACGAAGCCGGTGCTAAGCTCTACGTCACCGCCATTGCCTGCCTGTCCTATGGCCTTGCACAGTATCTTGGATGTCCCTATCTCTTTGAACTTTGGAAAAAAGGTGGCATCTTGATTCCGTCTGTTCTGTTACTTCGACAGCTTTCGAGAGCCACAAAAATAATGCGACAGTCTCTCTACAATCGTCGCGTGCTGGGCCGAGTAGGCCTTAGGCACGCTTAGGCTCAATCCGAGCTTCCTGTCGGCCAAGGTACAACGAGATGGTGCGTTGCACCGTGGCAAGCGCCGGCAACGACCACCGCCTCGGTGCGCAGGAGGCTCCTCCAGCCATCATTTCTCTGTACCCTGGTCAGGGCTTCGAGGCTTTCGTGGAGAGCATCTGCTCTGGAGGCGACCTCCTCGGATACAAGGCTGAGAAGAAGAAGCAGGAGACGGGCTGCAGCGCTGCCATGCACATTGAGGCCAACGTCGAGGACCGCAACCGCACGGCCCCGTTCCCATTCTGTGGCAATCGCTTCGAGTTCCGTGCTGTGGGCTCCTCCCAGAACTGCTGCCTCCCGATCATGGTTTGCAACGCGATCATGTCGGCGGGCATGGCTCACCTGTCCAGCCTTATTGAGGGTGGCATGAGCCATCGTGATGCCGTGGCAAAGATCTACACTGAGAACAAGCACGTGATCTTCACCGGCAACGGCTACTCCGCGGAATGGCCCGTGGAGGCAAGCAAGCGAGGCTTGCCGAACTTGAACACCACGCCCAAGGCCATTGCCACCTGGAGCTCCGAGAAGAACACCAAGCTTCTCGAGACCCTGAAGATCTACACCAAGGAGGAGACAGAGGCACGCGAGGAAGTGATGTACGAGAACTACATCTCCTGCATGTGCTGTGAGGTGGAGACCATGATCCAGATGGTGGAGACGGGCTTCCTGCCAGCCTGCGCCAAGGATCTGGAGAAGTTCAAGGGCTTCGACAAGCTCGCCGGAAGCCGAAAAACCGTGTACGACAGCATCGTCGACGAATCGGAGAAGTTGAAATCCCTGATCGCAGCCAAGCCCCACAGCTCTCTGGCGGAGGAGGCCACCTACCTGTGCGACACCGTGAAGCCGCAGATGGTGGCACTCCGCGCCAAGGTGGACAAGGCGGAGAGCATGATGGAGTCGTCTCTCTACCCTTACCCCACCTACGAGGCCATGATCTACTCTCACCACTTCTGAGGTAGAGAAATGTGGAGCCGAAGCTTCTTTTCCAATTGATTTTACAGTGCAGCACTGGATGGAATTTTGTTGATTCGAAGAGTCACAATACACTGCTTGAAGCGCCAAGGAACCGCCCAGCAGACAGGCAGCTGAAAATGAGCGCAGAGGTGTGCATGGTCTCGGCTTCGTGTCGAATCGATGACAAGTCGTTGACCCTGTACTCTTGAGCTCGTACTGTCGAAAGTCTAAAGTTTGATTTGAGGTGGTTTGGGGTTTTGCGGTCAGTGGACGTCCTCCTTCCTTGCCGTGCCCGTCTCGATCTTTCAGGCGTTCGACAAGAAGCAGGACGACTACAGGCGGACATCGTTTTTCTGAAGTCTTCTGTTCAGTCTCATTGCGCATGTCGGTGCCGTCGGGTCTTGAGCATAAGAGGTGTATGTAAGTATCAACTAACTACAAGGGCATCTAGAAGTATATGAGTACACAAGAGTCGTGAGCATATCATGTAGAATCATGGAGCTGAAGAACAATTCCGATGCTGTCGCCGGTGCAGGACGGACTTTCGTTTAGACTTTACACAGGCCGGTGTATGCCAAGGGGAGAGTCAAGCACAGTGCGAGGTTCGTGTACAGTTTCAACCCTCAGCTCAGGTATTGTTGACTTCAGTTTACCTCATTTGAAAAATACCCTCCTCGGAGTGAGAGTCGTCCTTTGCCAGAAGCACCACAAGGCTACTCCGCGAGTCTAGGTAGATGTATGTATACATATGATGTATGTGTACATATGTATGTATGTGTGTGTGTGTGTGTGTATATATATATATATATATCAATGCATACAGCTACATACAGATGCATGGAAATAGTTGAACAGATAAAAATACATAATAAACCAACCAAGAACAAATATTTCCCTACGCATTGTTAAATGCGTGAACTACAACATCAACAAGCAAATGAATGTACAAACAAATAATTAATTTTAACGCTACGCCGCCCGC